GTTTCGATTAATATTCAGGAAATGTCGAAAAATTATTTTTTTTTTTCTTTTAAATGCGTTCTTATCATTTAAGAAGTCCATTATTTTAGTGGTGTTTTAAAAAATATTATCAGCTATTAAAACTGAATAATAGCCATCCAAGAAAAGAGTAACCATGGAGTTATATCACATAAAAGCCCAGATTAGTAGGTAAGATAAAAGCGAGGAAAAAAATAAATCAGGTAGGAGGCTTTGTCTGGGGAAGGGGAAGGAAGGCACGCTGTGTGCCAGCAGCTGGGCGTAGTGCTCAGGCAGCAGGTACAGGGAGGGCTGAGGAGGCAGATATTGTAACTAAATCCATACTGCATTTACAGAGTTGTTCTCTGGGCTACAGGCAGCTGAATTACTCCTGCACTGAAGTGAGGTCCAGCAATGGCTTGTTTGTGGTGATGGAAACCTCTCACTTGCTGGAACTGTTCTGACACTCATCGTCTAGAGTTGCCAGATGGTAAACATGTTTAGTTTGTAACAAACATTCATTAACATCACTTAACATATGTCTCACTCACAGGACAAGGACATGTGTCATACAGGACCAGAGCTAACTGGGGTGTGGCTGTGATGTGTCAAATCCTGATCGTTTGATCACTCACTGGATGTGCGCTTTGCTCCGAGCCTTACCAGATCTCATAACCAACAGCCGACTGTGTAAACCCAGGTTTTCAAAGCCATCTCCTAAAACTTTTCTTCACTTGGAGGGAAATAGTTGGTCAGAAATAAGTCCCTGAAGTACAAACCCATGACCAGTATATTAGAAATATCAGCTCCTTGTTTCTCCCCTTTTGAGTAGGTCTGGTCTTGTGGCTGCAGCTATTCTTCCTCACTACCTCAGAATCTGGGTTCAAGAGATTATCACCATACATCCTGGAACACAGAGGGAATGGGACCAGTTGGTGCTTCTACAGATCTTTCATCCTAATGGATCCCCAGGTGCTTATAAAACTTCGACCATCCACAAATAACATCAAAGAGTCTCTCGGTTACAAGACCTAGAGAAGTACAGTAAAGCCGTCTAACCAACTTGTCTCAGCGCAGGGTTGTTTCTGCTAGAATATTTATTGGCATTGTGTTCAATCTGTTCTTAAAAGTTTTTATAGATACAGCTTCTATTTCTTCCCTTGGGAGTCCTTTCTATAGTCCCACAGACTGTACCTCCTTTTTTTTTTTTTTTTCCCAATGTCTCTATTTTTCACTCCTCCCTCCTGGAGTGTATAAATTCTGTTTATACTCATTTACTACCTTACAAAATCCGTCTCTGGAGATGCTTTCTATTTCCTCTTTGACTAACACAACCAAATCATAACTGTCAGTGTCATTTCATTATCTTATATCGTGAGTCCATAAAATGTTTTTGTTGATCTCATTTCTCAAACAGGGACCGACAGTTATTGATATGCAGGCGGTAAGCACTTGTGTCTTTGCTAGCTCACCAAAGGCAGTTTGGCATGCTATTTTCAACTAGGCAAAGAGCATTAAGGTAAGGAACTCATCCAGTCTGAATTTCATGCCAAGAAGTTCACCTATGATTTTAATTAACCAGACTGGAATACAGTTGTGCAAATGACGAACATTTGATGAGCTCTTGTAATCTCAGTTGTAGGGGCTGCAGTCAATTCAAAATCACTGAACTCAGAAAAAAACAGCATATTCACAACTATATGAGTGCAGGAATTGGTTCCTCCAGACTTCCGCCATTCAGTAAAAAACACTGAAATGAAAACAACAAGGCAATTTGGAAGAAAATACTTCAGTTTCACCTTACTCTTCATTTATGCTGTTGTTCACACTTTCAGGAAGGAGACAGCTCAAAGTGCTCATATGTACGTTCACCCTTGCACCTTCGCTCTTATGAGAAATGTGAGAGTTGTCTTGTTTCATGACATATACCTTAAGTTAAACGCTAACATCAGCCTCCCACGAGGGAGTAAAGTAGGTGTTTAAATTTGGCATGGCCACCCCCTTCACACATGTATACAATCAGTTCCCCGACATCTGTATCACAGTTGACTTACAGCTTGCTTGGTGTGTGTTAACTTAGCATGTACACGAAGCTCTGCCTGCGTATTCCAGGCTGAGGGCCCAATCCATGGCTCTGCTCTGCCTCCACACAGCAAACACAGCACAGAGGCGTCAACATTTGTTTGAGCTCCGCAGCAGGAATTCCCCCTGTGTGATGAGGAACCCAGTGCTAGTCTACCTGGTGCCTTAGCTCTTACCCTGCCCTGCAGCTCCCTCAGTGGTGGTTTGGGCAGGACTGGTGCTGGCCCCAGGCTGGCTGTGTTACAGCCTTCAGGGGGCAGGACACCAGTGACAGAGCACAATTAGCTAACTCGCACTACAACGGTTATGAAGAACCCAGAGGAAGATGCATGAGAGCAGCACAAAGGCCACACTATTTCAGATCAAAGGTCTGCGTAGCCCAGAAGCCTGCCTCCAGCAATGGTCAACAGCAGATGTTCAAGGGTGGAGGGCAAGCATGGCTGAAACTGCCTGCAGTGTGCCTGCTGGGCACGTGGCCAAGACTCTGGGCTCAGCCTCAATGAGGATGTGGAGCTCCTGAATTGCCATGGATTTTGGCAGTTCTGAGCAGGTGTCACATCATTTGATTTCTGTACAGCATCAGAAACTTCAATAAAAAATAAGGAACTCTGTGACTTCGCTCCACTGTCTCTGAAAAACAACTCAACGCTTCATTTCCCCCTCCCCAACCCCCCCCCCCCCACACTTTTAAATATTTTTTTGAACTCCTGCATTATCTGAAAAACCACAGAAGGCATTTATGGACATATTAAATATTTGTCTGGAAGATAAAGTCAGGAATACCTGGAGATAAGAATGATATTGAACTTTGCTTTTCCAGCAGAAGCTGACTACAGTATCCCTATGCAATAAAATACTTATTGATAATCTCATGGGAAAAGCTAAAATAGTGGAGTTACCTGGACAGCATACACCAGAAAGACAGGGAATTCACATCAGAGAAAGGCTTTAGGTTTGCAGAATTGGTCCTAAAAATACTAAATCCAGAGCATTATGATGGAGTTTCTTCCTATGACTAGACAGCAGATTATAGTTAACCAGTTTTTCCTGCAAAGAACAAACAGAATTTCTTCAGTGTGACCATCTAAGGACATAAATGCTATTTCTTGCAATCTCCTTTCCCAGAACAGCAACACAGAAAATTTTCTCTGCTCCTATAACTGGGGGAAGGAGAGGAAGGAATGTGTCTGGACCAAGCAATTCTGCACAAGAGGCCAGTATCTGATGTGCAGGCTCGTAAATGACACAGGAAGATTTTCCCTGGATTTACAGCCTCATTCATTCTGTGGGGGGCTGTAGTTTTCCCTTTTACATTTTGTGGAGGTGTTGCATGTGCTCTCAAACAGCAGATCTGATACAGAAATGGGGAAACAAAAGCCTCTCAGATCTCCTACAGAAGGCAGCTTCTTCCTCCCAAGCAAACACCCTGACCAGGTGGACTGCCTGCAGCTGGGATGCAGGAGCAAGACTGAGTTGTTTAAAGGTCATAAAAACCCTTGGGCCCAGCTTTTATTTGTGAAAAAAAAAAAAAAAAAAGTGGTAGCAGATGCTTCTCTGCACTACTCCTACAAGTGCCAGTGAGAGCGAACCTGCCTGAGACGTGTCTACACTACAGGTGAAGAAGAAATCAGCTGGGCTGGCTATATAAAATGTATCTTTATTTAGACATTACCACAGTGGGGTTCCTTATGGGAATGTCTTAGCACCTCATGGACCTTAGGAGAAGGGGTCAGTTCCCTGCACATGGACATCTGGTCTTCGTAGGCCTGTGTGACACTAGAAGCCTATATCTAAGCACTGAAAACTCACCCAAAGGACTCTGTCCTTGCTTCTTATTCCTATTTTAAGGATGGAGGAACCAAGGCAGGTCGCTATTCTGGACAATGGCTGCAGGAGCGTCCTCTTGTTCTGGGGGAAGCATTGCCTGGGACACTGAGCCTTGCTTGCTGAAGATGCTGAGAGCTGCTGGCTCCAGCTGACCTCGGGTTTTGGTACAACTGTTCCAGCTTTTTGCAAACAGCTGCTGGAGGAGTGCTATGGCACCGAAAGCTATTTATGGAATTTGAGATTACACAGAAAGCCTGTATTAAAGCCCATACTCTCATGCGGTACATTTTACTGCAATAGCTGCAGTGATCTGGAGCTACAATAGCTTCTTGTGAAAGCTGGGACACTTGCAGACGTTGCCAGAGGTAATTAATATTCTGTCTTCCATTTACCTACTACAAATGATGGAACTGACCCCAAGCCCCCCACAAAAACACATAGAGCATGCATGCTCTTGCCTACTGCACTGACTTGCCCTGATCAGGTCCACCGTACATTTAACCCCCACAAACACACACACATTTACTCATACAGCTCAGCGAGTACCATTTAACTGCTGTGCACCTTCAGCTCTGCCTAAGCCCAATTTCGTTTTAGTTCCATGCTTGGGGAGCAGGGCAAGGCATGTTGCAATGATCTATGCAGTTTACATCCAATGGCCCTGGGAAAGTATCTTGGGTGTCTACAGGGAAACCTAAAGTTTCTGGCCTGCACACACGCAAGGCAGCAGCAACATAAACAAAAGCAGCTGAAGCACATGGCATGGTGTCTCCTGTCTTGACTGACACGATGGCAATTGCACCAGAGCATTGATTATCACTGATCTGTGCTGCCCCTGCTTTGCTGCCTGGGGCCTCCAGAGGAAATTGCTGGGAAGAGATCAGCGCTGAGAAGCAGCAAGCACAGTTCCAGGCACGGAGAGTTCAAGGCTATCAGATCCTTGGTGGCCTGGGACTGCTGCCTCTAGAAGGGTCAATACAGCAAGGATTAACTCGCTGGCAAAGGGCCCAGTGAGTGTGGGGCTTCCTTCCAAAACCTCCCAGCCTGAAGGGCTTTATTCAGCCCTAACTCCAGATGCTACAAAACAAGAGGAACAGGAATTTCCCAAACATTTACTCTGTCAGGCTTGTGAGGCTGGACGAGAGAGTGGGAGGATCATGCTCAACAGGGGAAACAGCAGCAAGGTAGGAGACTGCAGGGGCACAGACAGATGAGCAACAGCTACCAAGTACCTGCCCTGGGTCCTGACTCAAAGATATCATTTTCATTAATTTCCATTGCCAGCAAGCCCAGAGGTTGCCTAGGACAAGCCTGACAGCTGACTTTTCTGGCCAGTCTTCTCTTTCATATATCTGCAACCCCCTCTTATTCTTTCTCACCCCTTAGCCTGTTTCACCCATTTATACTCTGTGGCTTTATTTTTTTTTTTCCTTTTTCTTTTTGCTGCTTCAGCCCTTTGTTTCTCCCTGCCTTTTCCCTTTCTTTGTCCTGCTCAGACTCTGTTCTGCTTGTCGTCTTTCTCATCCACAGCCTGCCCTTCCAAGGTGCTCCACTCCCTTGGAAACACTGACTTGAGAAGAGTAGCTCATGCATGGGCTGCTGGAGATGTGTAAGCAGCAGCGTTGTCCTTGGGCATGTAGAGCCTGCACCCTTCTGAGATGCTGCCCATGACACTCTTTGAGGTCCTTCCCAAGCAATGGCCCTGCATTCAGGAAGGAAGGCTCAGAAATATCTGCCATCTATGTCTTGTGATCTGTGGGAGTGTCTCTGTCTGAAGGGACAGTGCTTTCAGCATCCCTGTGAGACCTTCAGACAATATGAGCTCTCTCACATTCTCTTAGAAAACATTTAATTTCTAAGAGCAATAACGTTCTAGGGTTAAAAAGCGTTTCAAAGTTTTTAGACTCTAAGGCTACAAAGTCCAGGAAAGGATCTTCTGGGCTGAATCCAGAAGATTCACTACAAAAACTTCTGATTTTGCACCTCCTTCATCCACTTCTGTTGGCAGAGTTTTCCAAAGCCAGGCTGCTTGAATAGTTAAGGATTTTCTCTTAACTGTTGCTTCAGTTTATCCTTCATTCATTTATTCCTAATTTGTTCTTGCATGATAAAACCTATGGCATAAGGAATCCCTTCTATCTCACTGAAGGGCAGATATTTTAGCTGTTTTCTGGGGGCAGTTTTTACAGATTTAGCAATCACCAATGTTTTGGTGCTTACATGTCCAGCACAGTTAGTACAGAAGTCACAAGAAGAACTATCAGCTACGGTCCTGTCATACAATCTTCCATGTCCTTCTTCATCATATTTCCACATGAATGGGGTTATCTAGCTGGTGCTATCTAGCTCTGGAAGGCTACACTTCATTTAGATGTATTCAGTAAATTCTCAGCTCCACTGATACTCCATCTTCTAACAGCGAGGCTAAAAGGGCACAGGAATGTTTATGTTGGTTTAAGGCTCAATCATAATGTAGGGTTTTGTCTGAGTGGAAGTGCAAAATTGGAGCAGCTGGCAGAATTCAAGAAAACTATAGGATTCCCTTCAGATCAAAGGCAGGCACTTTCCTCTTCGTTCCCACAGATGATGTTAAGGAACTCTGTTGTGTGCCTCAATGACAACAACAAAAAGTCGTGTTTTCCTCCCCTAACTCTTCTCCTTTTTAAATTGGATTTGATTGAAATTTTTTCATCAAAGCATTTTCAGTGTACATTCGGGCTCTTGATGAAGCAAAAAAAAAAAAGGTCTCAGTGTCTTTGGAAACATTCAATTTTTCACTAAGTAAACAAATCACATTATTTTTAGAGAACAACAGCAGCCAGGGGAGAAGAGAGGGAGGATACCGGGTCTCAGTGGAAAGGCAATATATTTTGTGTCAAAATGGAATAGTTTTCAATGAGCTGGAGGAGATCATCACATGTTCCTTAATTTCAGCTTTTGAAAATCTCTAATGTCAATCCCAGGAAGTGTTGACAACTAACAATTGGTCTCTGCTTGCTGGTTTGTTGACTCCATTGCTGTTAACTCCCAAACATGAATCTGAGTGGGGACTTGCATCTGAAGTTGAAATACATGCATGTACCAGTGGTCCAGAGTAGAAATTTCATTTCAAGTATTCCCAATTTGATCATACTTCTTGAAACTCTGTGGGATTTTTGGAAATTGTTAAGAGGGCCTCTACTCTTTCCCTAGCAGAGTGGTCATGTGTAATATCAGAAGAAAGCTCCCTTCTGTTTAAAAAGTTCCTGGTCCAAGGAGAAACTTCCCTCTTTTCACGGATGGCTGACAGTGTTGTACATAAACTCTGCCTCTTCTTCAACTGCCTGGAAGCTCTCTCGTATCTGGATAACCTTATTTCAGAAATAAGAGGTCCTGAGCCCCTGTGAAGAGAGACAGAAGTGTCCCCAGAGCAGAAGAAAGAGTATGGTTGCGCAGATCCAGCCCTGAGAAGACATTTGAAACTGCCTAAGCAATTCTGATACCCAGTAGTGCTTACATTCAGACTCCCAGGTACTGAAGGTACACACACACAAGCTGGAGGAACACAGCTAAATTAGAAGCTTTGTTTGTTTGCTTTGTTTTTGTTTTGTTTCAGTAAAAACCACCAGGATGATAAGAGGGCCACCGAATCCCAGTGACCTGAATGAGAACTGTAGTTCAGCTTTCCACCACCAATGCATTGAGCTTGATATGTGTTGTGAAGATAGGAATAGCCCAAAGAGCAAAACCAGGTAAGGTCTGTATGGAAAAGCAATGCAGACCTGGTGTGAGGGCTCAGAGGCAGAAGACTATGCAGGGAAGGGACTCTTGGAGGAGTTTCATTTTGATGTCAGGCTTCTCTCCTTTACGAGAGCCAGTGATGAATTTTGCACCGCTGAGTTATGCTGTCCTATGTGGCTGTAGCTCTGTTTATTTTGAAATCTTTCTGTGGTGGAGGGAATTTACGAGCCAGCAATATTTCTGCTTTATGGCACTTCCTTCATCCACATTCCTTCGTCTGGTCATTTACATGGGCCAGGCCCACGAGGAGAGGTCAGGGGGGCACCCAAGTGGTATCTAGAGGCTCGGAATGGAAACATGTTTTCTCACGCAAAAATAAATAAGGGAGAAATGTTTCCATTGCAGAAGAGGAACAAAGGCTGAGATCACAGCAGAAAGCAAGCAGAGAACAGCAGGCTGCCCAGCCAAGGCAATTAACAGCATTTAACAACAGCCATTCACTGTATGTAACATGTCTGTTCTAGTGACTCCCACTTCGGTTGCTTTAAATAGCAGATGAAATGCAAAATGAAATTGCAGTTATATCTGAGCCTGCACGAACTACCACAGAACAATCCAAGGTGCAGGTATGTATCTCCTCCAGGCCGCATCTGAACACTAAATGGGAACTCCCCTTGAACAACAGCTGAGGACTTCAGCTGGGAACACTGTTCAGCTAGAGCTGCCTGAAAATCCACTTTTCATCTCATTTCCTCATTTAAAGGTTTGCAGCAAAATGAGAAAAATACCTGCTAATTTTAAGCCTATAAACTCCCAGACAGTCTTACCAAAAGCTCAGACAACCACTCAAGCCTAAGGGGTCTACAAGATCAGCACAGCCTTACTAAAACCTACCAAGCACCGAAAAGACCAATGTGACTAGCATCGCAGCTGAGGTAATTCTTCTGATCAGGCTCCCATTTCCAGGTGTCAGCAAGGCACCTTACAGTGGTGCAGACCTAGGGGAAGCTCTGTCACTATGCCCCTTACCCAGCAGACAAGTCTTAGCTCCGCTTATGCTTGGTTGTGCATGCCTGCCTGTGCAAGTCTGACCTACAGCACAGAAGACTTCCCCCCTCTGTCTGCACGCAGAATGCCACCTGCAGTGGAGGGTCTCAGACACTTTAATACCTTCCACTTAACTGTTATGAGTCCTGTTGGTCTTAATTTTGCCTTCCCACCCCAGGATGGCTGTATTTCTGCTTTACGTTAAACGAGTAATTCCCACGCAGGCAGTTTGTTAAGTGTCCTACAATGAGAGACAATACCTTAGAAAGGCACAAAGTGTTGATTTATCTGAGGTTACTGGCTCCAGCACGTGGTTTAAATCAGATTCTGGTCCATGACAGTGATATAAGAGAGAACCTTGCTTAATGGTGGTGAGGGGAACACATCTCCCTGCCTTAATCACACACAGATTTCCAGTTGGGAAGAGGCTGGGCTGCCTATTTGTCCTTCATTATACAAACCATAAACACACATTCAGACACACAGAGCTCATCCATCCTAAACATCTATCAAGAATTCCAGATTCCTCCACTGCAAACCAAGACCTTCTTTATTATCACATCATTCCCCGAAAATGTTTACAAACTAACTTCTGTTCTCATCCCATTCTCATCTTCTTGCTGAAGAAATGAAAATATCAGGTTCCCAGAGAAGCTGCTTTTGAGGCTGCATTGAAAACATTGTCATATGGGTAAGTACAGCAGTATAACTTGCAGAGACCTTAATGTTTAGTAAACTTGATTCTGAGCTTTGGTTTTCCAGAACAGAAAAGTGTATTTTTTCCCCCTCCAAGGTCTGATGCTGGATTTGAACATGAGAACACAAGTAATGTTATCCGCTCACCGGCTTTTTGACAGCAAAAGTTGAATCTGTATCCTCTTGTTCTTAGACAAAGGTATCAACTAACTGATCTAAATGATCTGTTCCAAGCAGCCTTTTGTGATTCAGGGGGCTAATGACAGTGGAGGGGACAGGCCTGTACCCTGAGAGAGTTGCCACATCACTAAGATTCATCTCCTTGCACACAGAATTACAGAATCACAGAATCACAGAATTTCTAGGTTGGAAGAGACCTCAAGATCCTAGGAAAAGCTTCTCAAAGCTTTTTGTCAGGGAGCAGTACAGCGTAAGTTTGGCATCAACCAATCACAGCCAAAAAAGCTGCATTGATTTAAGAAATTCATACATCATGGATCTGCAGGGCTGCCTCTTCTTGCAGTATTCTAACATTGCAATATTCTAACAACAGCCCATGTTGTTGCTCCCCATCAGACTAGCATGTACCATCTCCAAGCTGCAGCTTGGTATTGCACTGAAAGCCATGAAGAGTGCTGATCCAAATCTGTTTCACAGCTGGACTGTTGTGCGGTGATCTCTTCCCAGTGAAAGAGGCTCAATGACAAACAGTTGGACAACTGTATTATCTTAAACTGCCATGGCATTTTAACAACTATATCAAAATCTTAATCAGATGGGACGTTTCCAAAGGCAGAAAGCAGGATTAAGGGCATGTTTCTTAGAAGCTCTTCAGAGGAGCTGGGCGCTTCACAGATATTTGTGGCCTTGAAGAGAGAATCCAAATATCGGTCATTTGGCTCTTGCCTGAAATATCCTTGCCTTTTTTTTTTTTTTTTTTTTTTTTTGGCAAAGCCAATTCTGCCAAAAAGATTCAGAGAAAGCTTTTAGGATTGTGTTTACCCTCGGATGTAACTCAGACACGACATTTGTAATGTCATCAGAGCAGGACTGCTGACGTGAATAACGGTGTTGGCAGCAGCTTCCATGGGACCAGGACTGGGTCCAGTATTCACATTTCCTAGGCATTCTCTGCTAAACATTATTGTACATAAAGAAGCATTTGTTTGGACTCCAGATGTTCAAGTAACCTCCTGTCATATTCTGTCTGTATCCCAGCTCTCCCATCTGTGATCTGAAGTGTTGCAAGGAAAAAGTGGAGGGAATTATTTTGATCTCACTTCCATCTGTTTTACACTTCACTGACTCCCCTCTTGATTTGCACCAGTGTTTGAGAACAGGGCTAGAGAGTAACGCTGCTCATACCAGTGTAAATCCAGAAGACAGGGGCATTTACTCTGAACTGACCTCAGGCAATTACTTGCAGAGTTATTTGGGATAAACAGTTGTGATCCAGGAAATCAGCAAACCCCGTGTGGGCAGTTGTTCAGGGAGAGGAACATCTGCTCTGAAACACTGCAGTTGTTACCAGTGCTTAACAGATGGGCACCACTGCAGAGAATAACTGAGAAATGTGAACTTTACAACTTTTCTGAGCAACCCACGGCAAAGTTACTGCAGCGTATCCCGTGCTGATGTCTGTTTACTCAGAGAGCAGTCTGAAGGCAGTCCTGACCTGGCGGCTCTGGAAGGGCTTTTGCATCAGTGCCAGCCTCAGTTATAGGACAGGAAACTGATGAGCACTGCACTTAGTGACTGTGGTTATAATCAACCTTATCAGTGAGAATGGCCCCTGGTCATCAATGGTAAGATGCTCCTTATGAGTGACAGATAACCCTGTGTGTTTGCAGCAATCCTCCCCTTTCAGTTCCTGAGAAATGCCCTTCTACCCCAGGGCTCACCTGCACCAAAACTCACTGTGGCTGATGTTGACAGGATATCAGAGGGCAGAGAACTGCTCTCACTAGTTTGAAACCAACCAAAAATTAGTGTCAGGTTGGTCTATGCAGGTTCCTAAGATAAATCTAAAGTTCGCACCAGCTTGCATAGCTCAGTTATTTATCTAAAGCTTCAAGGTGGGTGAAGATGTTTCTGCAGGCAGCTAAAGGCTCCTGATCCCAGCCTTCACTTCTGTAAGCACTCTGCATGCAGAATCCTGGCTGGGATCACCCGGCATACGAAACAGAGACTTGAGTTCCAAATGGGTAAAAGGTATCCACGAACCACAAAGGGAGAAGCAAAACAAACAAATAAAAAGCACTGTCCAAGAAATTCAGAATGACAAAAACCTTCTGCTTCTATCTTCACTCTAGCTCAGCTGAAATGGGTGGCTGACCCAAGGCAGCGGGGGGTGGGCTTTTATCCCTTCGTGCTGCAAGAAAAAATTCTCGGAGCTTTGTCGGAAAGAAACCATTAACACAGGAAAGGAGAATTAACGGAGACTGCAATAATCCTTGCTACAAACGAGATGAACCCAGCTTTGCCCCCCCAGCTGCATCGTTGGAAAGCCACCAAGGGAAGCTTTTTGGACACACAGATTCTCAAGGGCCTAGTGCACGAACCGTGTCACACAGATTACAGGAAGTTGTCTGCAATGTAGCGTTAACATTTTTTGCAGGAGATCTGAAAATTTCCATGCCTGATCCAGAACAGAATCCCCTGGTGCTTGGCTATCCTCTGTTCTTCCCCAGGCCTGGCTGCTGGACCAATCCTAACACAGCCAGCAGCCCAAGGTGATATCACTTGCTAACTATGAAGTTTGGGATTGAAATGCCTTGTTCTTTCTCATCTTGCTTGCCAGCACTATCCCCCAGCTCTAGTCAGGGCCTCTTATTTGCCTGAGAACTAAATTTAACCAAAGTAGTAATAAAGATGCTTTACATGCTCATCTGACACTAAGAAGCATTGGTGGGCAGATTATTGGCATGTGGAACGATGATCTCTTCTCAGACTTTCCGTAATGCTGTGACTATGAAGCTAAAACATCATTAATAATATGCCATTTAGCTTGCTTTTGAATGGTGGAGGAAGGACTAAGAATATATAAGGTTGAAGAGACCAAGGGGAAGAAGCTGGAACCTTTACACGCACTTGGCAGCAGGCAGGGAGACAAATCCCAGCTGTGCACATAGCACACTTTGATGTATGTGTATGGCGTTGCAATAGCACATCCATTTCCAAATGTATTTACTCATGGTGGTAGTCCAGGCAGCTGGTGCGTCTGTGTGCTAGTCAGATATCCAGGCTAGGAAAGATCCTTGGTCAGCAAAAGATGATGCTGCTGGGGCTGCGAAGAAGCATGTGTGTTCTCTCTGTTGGAGTTATTTCCTTCAGCTAGCATCTCCTGCTGAAAAATGGGAACTTTTGACTTTAAATTTTACTTTCAAGACAGCTAAATCTTCTATGGATTTGAGGGATGTAACTTTCTGCTGCTGATTTTTCTTGCACGACGATTGGGGAGCATGAAGGCTGAGATACTCTGGGCCCATTTAAATACAAAATACCAACCTCAGGTTGCTCTTTTTCTGTGTCCTTTTTTGTTTCAAGAAAGATATTCCTTCACCTCTGAAACTGTCTGTCAAAGGGAAGAGATGTATAATAATAGCAAAGAGGAGGTAGAGTTTAGGCTTCCTCCCTACATCCTAATGTAGAACTAATTTTGGGAAGGCACCTCACAAGGCCTTCCAAATCTTCCAGCCCCCTCCAAATCTGCAATATTGGACTCAGAAATCTGATTAGGGCTGTGCAGAAATGACATTATCAACACTGTAGTGCACTTCAATCTCACACCATTTCTCCAGTGCCCTGTAATAAGTGCCTATGAGCTGAAGCAGGCCTGGCACTGAGCCCCAGCAGCCCCTAAGAAGTGAAGGGGAGCCCTTGGTGTAACAGAACAATCATGACAGTACACATCAATTTACCAAAATAAAAAAGTACTCACTTCATAGCATAGCTTTTGATTTCCCTGGCCAACTAGTTGTCTTTGTGGACTCTTATATATGGCCTTTAATGGTGTGTAAGGGAAAGATTAATCTTCTACAGCCATTTGACATTGTTCAGCCCTTGGACATGTGGTGGTCTTCACCTGACAGCCAGGTGAAACCATCTCTACCACAATCACACTCTCCTTATATTTTCTTACACTGTGTGAACTGCCTTAAACATCCCAAAACTAAGTATGTACCCAAGGGAGTAGCTTTTACGGATGCAGGTGACTAAAGAAGAGAAGTGCTCTTTACACCCTTGACACCGTACTCGGTCAGGACCAGCCAGGTCACAACTTGGTGCTCAGCAGCAGCCTGTGTTATTGTGCCCATTGCACCATGGCCACTCCAGGTTCACTTGGCAAGCTCACAGCCAGCTGACAGAGCATCAAAAGGATTTGGTAATTAGCTACTAAAGCATTGAGATCCCAGCAGGTGCCACCTGCTGTGGCAAGCCCTGCTATGTTCAAGAGAGGGCACTTTGTTCCCCATCAGTTTTGATGCTCTTTTTATGCTCTAGTGTAAGCTCTTAGATGCAACAACTGCTGTCACAGCAGGTTGGATTTGGAGAGCTCTGCTGTGGGAATGGATGCTGCTATTTTTAAAAATCCATTTTACGTAAAACTCTACCAGAAGGGAAGAATTGCTTCTGGCTCAAGATCCCCTATGCCTGGACAAACCATCTCAGCAGATGCAGAGTGCCATGAAATAGAAATAATGGAAATAATGACAGCGCCTTCGTCTAGCAGGCGGGACGGACACTGCCGGAGCGATGGGCCCTTCTCCTGCAGCCTGAGAACAGAGCGCGTCTCATGGGAAAGCACAGACCTGTAACCCTGACGTGCGAGTGCCCTGCCTTATGGACGGGTTGTGACTGCCTGACACATCTTTACAGCTTCTCTCCTGACTGCTGCGCTTTCATACCTCATTACTCATGGTTATTCTGAGGTATATATTCTGGCTGGGTGGGAGAATACTGCTTTTCCTTCAGTGTTTTTTTTTTTTTTTTCTTTCTAGCCAGTGACCAGAGCTCCTACATCTTCCATAGGCCTAACTCAAAGACTTATGTGTGAGTTAGTGTAAGATGATCTTTTTATGCTTTTTTTTTTTTAATCACCTAACTACAGCCCCAGGCAGATACACCAAACAGTCTAATTATGTACCTGGAGCAGAAACTAGCATCTTTCCAGTTACAAAACTTGTGTCTGACTGGCATCTTGCATGCTCCTCTTATTTTATATTTTTGTTGTTCTTTGGACCACTCAGGTAATTAATTACACCAACCTATGACTGGACACTACTCTGACATACCCTTCGCTACATAAACAATTTAGGTCAAACTCAGAGATGATATAAGGGAATCAATATGGACGGACTAAAAATAGAAGTCCCAGAGCAACCCTCTCCCACATTACATACTCCAACAGGCCAGGAGGATGCTGTGACTGATGAGAATTTGGACTTTCTCTATGACACCAGGCCTTCCTTCACCAATGCAGTTTTGTGATGCCTCTCAATAGACAAAGCAAGGACAACACTCTCATACAATGGCTTTGCAATGGTTTTACTTTTGCCACCAATTACTGATGAAATTATTCAGAATGGAAATATTTGATTTGCCACCTACAGACATATAAAGACAATATGTCCTGACAATAAGGCATCATCATATCAGAAAAAGTAGCGACAGCCCTCTCATCATGACAACTAGCACGGCTGGGTCACAACTTGTACTGTGTGCATTGCATTCAGCCCAGAGGCTTCCAGTACAGACCTGGATGCTACTGTATTGAGGTCTGCACCCACACACAGACTTTAACAGATCCTAACCTTATGACTTTCAGGTTAAAGAAAATTTTATTTTCTACAGCTCTGCCCCATGCCACCCAGAAGAATCCCTGCTTCTGAAGGTCAGTCAAATACATTATATATATATATATATATATACACGCACACATACACACACACAAATATATATATGTAGGCTGCATAGATTTGTGAGCAGTAATGCTGTTCATAGCGGTGTGGGTAAGAGAGAGTTAAACAAGTTTTATGTTCGGAGCACCTAAAAGGGTCAAGGGGTCACTTCCTTCACGTGTAACCAGTTGACCAGGTGCAACTGAAGAATTTTCCCTTCCTCCAAAGCCTCAAGGTATAGACCGTTTCCCAGAGGTGGATAATTAGATTTAATGGGCCAATATTTTTTTGGTTATAGCAGAATCTAAAAATACTAAATGCACAGTGGCTAGAGAAGAGTGCAGAGATTTGTTTGACAAATGCTGCCCTCAGTACCAAACTTACGTGAATCCTCATTTAGAATTAGAGAGGAAACAGAAAGGGAAATGTTCTGTTTGAATGCATCTGAAGTGTGTGAGTTCGGCCCTGATTTCAATGAGTTATTTCTGTATTATCTCTTTTAAGCAGCTGCTCTTTCCTTTGGGACTCCTGTGATCTGGCGCCCAAGAACACATTGTAAAAGCTTATCAGCTTTCCATGTCCTGGAAACCAACTCTTCTGTCTGAAGCAGGTAATATCTTTAAAGCATGTTAGAGAATCCCATTGCTTGGGAATAAGATGAAAAAAATCACCATATATTCCTTTTTGGTTCTTTGCTATGGATACAGTCGATCTGAAATGTTTACTACTAGCTTAAAAAGGTAATTCTCCATCGTGGCTCTATATGAGGAATGATACACACACCTTGCTGGAGCCAAAGGCAAAACCTCTCCTTTTTTTTCAAGGGGACTAAGACTGCACTCCAGAAATACAAATTCTAGATAAGAATTTCAAGAACATGCAAGCAGAGATCGCCAGTCCAGATTCAGAAAGGCTCCACCAGGCACTGCAGGACCTAAAAGACATTTTTACAAGTGGATATTTTCCTACAACCCTAGATCCTAAGCAGAACCGAGGTAACGCGGGCAGACAACATTTCCTGGACTCTATAGAAAACAAAGAGAGTCAAAGTTCCAACACAAGTTAACTGTTGGTGAATGAAAGACCTACACCACACTCAGTTTGAGATTCAGCCAGTCAAAACTTAGGTTTCTAACAATGAGGCATCCAGATGAAGAAAATTTTCCTAAGCAGCCTGTATCCAGATGGCACCAGCTGATGGAGGCTGACACTGCCCTAGAAAGTGACTTATTTCACCCGGTTTAGGTTGTTTCTTGGCCCTGTCAGTCTCTCTCTGCATTAACTGGGGATTAAGACAATCAGATTGAGTGGGAGCTTGACCGTTACTTAGAGTTTAGCTGCCTAGTTAGATAAAAGGGATGCCTGTTCTACTACTTGTGAAAGTGGCACCCCTTTTCCAACATAGAACTTCATGGATATTTTCAGAATTAGTGAAATTATGACACCTGAAGACAATCTTTAGACTCATGCTGAAATTAGTGTGAACAGAGGTTTTGGCTTATATTTTTAATCTTGTATTTGGTTTTGTTTCTCTTTTATTAGCAGTGGTTTAACTCAACACCTGAGAAATCCTGCATGAAAAGAAGGTCTTCATTAAAATTTCAACACCCTTGCTGCTTCAGTTGAGAGCTGGGAGAGCTCCCACTATGCATGTAATTGTTTTTCCATAGTAAAACACACTTTGCTGAAGGATAATTGATATGAGGCTTAAAATTCTAGCACCGACATACAAAGAAAAGTTATTAACTTCTCTAAGTATTTGTATGGGCCCCTGATTTTGTCCTCTGGAGTCCCATCATGTTCTTCAGGGGTGGGCTAGTAAATTGTCTTCTTGGCTGCCTCATTGGCCAAGTTCACCCACACATGTCTCATGTTCCAAGGAGTCTGATCCCATAGGTCTGTGTAACGTAACCAGCTTCTCCCCTGAAAATGTGCAATGAGAACATAACACCATTTTCTTTCTGATCTTAGATCATAGGCACAGGCAATTGACTGGCCTCTGAACTGATAGAGAAGAGTAATCAGGAATACAGAGCATGACTGTATCAGTTAAAAGGTGAAAAAATGCAGAGGTGTTGACTACATATCAGTATCACCAGCTGAAACCATCCATGAACGTACTCCTTGCTGGTTGTTAGCAGTCTGTATCCTGATTAATCTATTCCTCAAAACCACAGGAAAAAAAAAAAAAAAAAAAAGGCCCTTCTACCTACCAGTTCACAGAGTTCTGTCTTTACTCTGCTCATAAATGAAGGGAGCAGGGCAGAGGGAACCCCGGGCACCCCTCAGCCTCCATCCTGCTGAACCCCCACCCACCCTTACCTGCTGAGAGAAAATCTGGTGCAGCTCATACAACTTGCTCAAATTCCTACAGCTCTCTTCATCCTGTGCCATGAGTTACATTAGAGACACCTCAGCTATTCACAAGAATACAGACGCTTTCTAGCCCAGAAAGTACCACAAGACACTCAGCTCTATTGTGTTCTCACTTACACAGCCAGGCTAAGCCCCCAGATGCCTTGCTCCTGCAGTGGAGACCTCCCAGATGTGCTTGGTGATGTCAGAACTGAGTGCTGGGCACTGGTAATTACTCAGATGTCCTTGACTCACCCTTCCCTTACACAGTTTATGGCCTTTACTTCTAATCAAGAGAGCTAAGGAGAGTTCAGTGGAATAAGGTAGCAAGCCTCCTACTGGGGAAAAATGGAGACGATGTTAAGCAATACTAATTTCACCCAGGTTAGAAGATAGTGGGTCCCATGCAGATATTTTCTAGGGTCTGCTCAATCCAGGAGTAACAGAGTGAGATCTTCCTGCATTAGTCCCTACACCCCAGAGAGGATCAGAGCACTACGACAGGGCCACTAGTGAGAAAATTCCCAGGACCCATGCTGCCTCCTTGCATCTGCTGTGCAGGGTTTCAGGTCATGGATGACTGGTATATATGGGTATGCAAATTCTGTCTGCAGCGCTGAGGAGTTTCAGAGCTGCACATCAGTCCAGAAGATGGCATCATCACAGCTGCAGTAGGGTTCTCCAGCTTCTGGAGTGATCAGACACTGGGCAGGTGTAAAGGTGGTTTTAAAACCACTCTCCTGGGATGTGAGTCATGTTCTGTGCTATCTGGAGGCAGAACACAACCTCACTGGGTCAGGCCAAACCTAGAAACAGGTCCCTAAAGGCGTAACTGTGTCTTTGCTTATGGTCCATTCAAAGCTGTGGGACAACGTATGGCCACAAACAACTCAGTGCCAAAGATTTCCTCTGAAACACAGATCTGAACTTCAATAAAAGCAATCACAAAGCAGAGGGAATAGCACACATTAGTAAAGCCCCTCACCTTGCAATTGCTTAGGGTTGGCTATGGGGGACTGCTACAGTGTTGATGTGCAGTAGTGTTTGGGTTGGGGCCGCGCAGCTTGATAGCATGATATAGGGAAGGTGTGGAGTTACTGCAATTATTTACAGATATTGAAAGCCTGTGTGTGAGCCCTATGGAGGACAGACATTTACTGAGGTGCTAGAAGGATGGATAAGAAGGGATACAGAAAGGAAATGAACAAAACAGCAAGGCTATCAGGAGGAATTTGCTGATATTACTCAGAGGAATAATCTCATCCCTGCTTCAAACACATAAAACTAGACTGGTAAAAATTACTAAAAAAATATAGAGTAGAAAACACAAACTGGACTCAACTTCCTAGTGTGGATTCTGAGATCCCAGGAAGCTCTATCATCTCCAGGTTTCTCTGAAATTCAGGATCTTCTGGGAATGCTCCTTCAAAATTATGAAAAGGAGAATTCAGTAACATTTGTCTACTACTGTGTATTCCACCATAAATTGCATTCAGAAAGAAAAAAAGATATTCCTAGAGACCTGTAAGGTCTTGTTAAATGAACAAAACCAAGAGGGACTTCCTGCCTGGATGTCTTTGTGTTGAGATTATCCAAGACTCTTTCTTGACAGAGATTCCCCAGATTATTATTAGCATTGTTGTTTCCTGCAATAAAAAAAAAATCCTCAAAGATTAGTTTGAACGAATGCTGAATCTGTGCTTCTCCAGCCAGGGAGCCCATCCCCAAGACCGCTGGAGGCTGTTTACCGCTGCTTTATGTTAGCTTGTCACTGATAGATTGACTGAATGCCTGACCATGTCCGCCTGCCAGAGATCAATAGCTTCCTCCAGAAAGAAGTAGCCTGGGGGAAGAAGGAATGCCTGGACCAAACAGCTTCCTGGTCTCCCATGCAGTTTATGGGTCTGATACTCTTCTTCCTTATCTCAGGGCAACACCAGGGTACACCTCCATCCAGACTGAATAGAGATATGCAAGTGTTGCTATCAGTGCAGAGGTCATTGGTAGCTTAAAGATCACACAGATCTTGCTTTTTCAGGTTTCCTAAACATTATCAAAAGAACATAAAGGAAAATAAGGCAAGGAAGACAACAGGCTATGCAGCAAGTGATGCATGAGCTTTACAAAACGTAGATGTCTGTATCAGTACCTGAAATAACACTGAAGTTCACTTTTGCACCACCCTTTATGAGAGAGACACAACTTGTAGAAAGTCCCAAAGAACACTGCAAAGACTGTCAAGGGTCTATAGCACATGAAGTGTGAGGATAGGCTGAAGGAACTGAGTTTTTCTGATCTGGGTAAAAGAAGGCTAGGGAGGGGAGGAACTGATTGCATCTTCTACTTGAAAGGGCTTGTAGAGATGAAACCAGACTCTTTTCAGGAGTACATAGTGAGAAGACATGACAATGGAAAAAGGTTGCAACAAGGATAATTCCAAAGGGATATATGGAAAACATCCTTTACAGACAGAACATGTAAGCATTAGAACAAGTTGGCAAAAGATAGAATATAGAACATAGAAAAAAACAACATATAATAAAAACAAACAAAAAAAAAAAACACAAACATAGAATATCCATCCTTGGAGACTTTCCAAAACTTCCTTACATGAGACCATGAGCAATCTGATCTGACATTGAAGCTGGGTCTTCTTTGAGCAGACAGACTAGATGAGCACCAGAGGTACCTTCTGATATAAAATCTGTGATTCTATGATTGTATTTATACTACTTGAGCCTACTGAATCAGGCTGCAAATGCCATTGAAACCATTGAGTGCCACTGTCTCTCGCTAGCATAGCATCTGTCTCTAAGTGGAAGAACAGAGTTTGAGTCAGATTTTTAGAAACTGGCAAGGTTTGTGTGCGCATTGATCTGCCCATATCCATGTTCAACATGTGATGTGAAGTCAAATAGGCTTATTTTAGAACTTTACTCTTCACTGAGTTCAGAACACCTGATGAAGCAGCAAGCATCCAAGCTCTCTAGGAAAAACCCCGTAGGGCTCAGGAAAAAAAAAAAAAAAGTTTCCATTTTGGATTTTAGATCAAGGTGTAAGGTTCAAATTGGATTTTTTTTTTCCCCCCCTTTTTAGGAATTAGTCTGAGCAGCAACCTTGTTTGGCATCTCCTCCCATATTGATGGAAGTTCTCTTCCACTGAATACAATGGATTTATTACTGATATACATGAGGATAAGCACGAAGAATATTTACAAACACCTGTAAGAGTAACACAGAGAGTCCTGGCTTTTTGTGTGGCTCCACCTTACTGACTCAATCCTGTGCTAGCAGAGCCTTATCACTCCCACTGTGGGCAGCTGTATTACCCTCCTCTTCCCCCAGAAAGAGAGGGCAGGAGATGCAAAGGAAGAAACAGTAGGAGAGTGGTTCACTTACTTTGGGACCCACTCCTATATCAAAGCCTGTGTTACATATCCATCTGTGGTTAATTATGAAGTCACAGAAACTGGGAGACAAAAAACAAAATCCAAGGAACTGTAGCCTTTCATGACAATAGAGTAGATTGTTCCTATCACCTATTTCCCCTTATGCCCATTGTATTCTCCACTCTCTTATTCAAAGAAATCCTTTATACACCCCACTGGTCAGTCTAATACATTCAGCAGGAAAGAAAAACAGCTACAGCTCAGATACAAGATTAAACACACTGCAATACAGAAAGAAGCAATTGCCTTGAACACAAAAGTAAACTGAATCCATTGCTTTCAACTAAAACTGAGCCCCTAACCATGTCTGGGCTTTTTGTAAATTGTGTGCCAACTTCAATTTCTCTGCTAGATCCCAGTGTGGAAACTGCTTTTTGCCTCTACAAACTGCTCTGTTTTAGGTGGATATAGGGCCTGTCTTTTCTGACCTGTCAGAAACCTGCCAGTCACCAGAAAAAAATTACAGTAACCTGCCTGAGGGATAACTACCCCTTACTGACATATAAGTGATCTGCAGAGAGCTGATGCTGTGCTGCTGGATCTTCAGGATGAAAAAGGACATCATCCAAAAGCAGCAGGACACAGAACTTGTTGTGTAAAACTCCTGGAATGAGTTTGGTCCTCTATCTCTAAATACCATGTTTGCATATCCCCTCGCCAACTAAGCTCAGAGGAGCTGTGCCTTGGAATGGCACTGCAAGATGAAGAGCCAGGCATTTCGGCAGCGCAGCTCAGAACTGCTTGGAGTAACTTCAGTGGAGTGATGTGGGATGACACCACATGAGGATATGGCCTCACAATATTTGACATCTGCCCCTCAATGAAGGCAAAGGATTTCTTGGCACATCTCCTACCTTCAATATTAAAAAAATGAAAATAGCCTTTATTGCTTTTTAATTGGGATGAAGGAGGGAGTATGTTTTCTTTGGATCTTACTTCAAAACAGATGATCAGGGTTGCCGAAAATAAAGAGCCTTGTTTAGGCCTCCTCTGATCTTACCCGCTAAGCAAAATAAACTCAGATGGAAGCATCCCCCTCCACTCATGCTCTCAAGTGCAGGTCATTTCCCTTGCAGGTTTATTTGAAAAATAAGAAACCGAAGGCTTCAGTCTGCAGTGAGCAGTTGCCTGTTCTTAGGAGACAGAGATAGGAGCACTCCTCTCCAACCACTGTTTTTATCCCCATACAGTCAAAACAAAGACTAAAGTCAAGAGCACGCATCTTTGAGCTGTATCTTCTGTACCTTCACATGTTACAAAGTCACTCTGAAAGGTCACTGACTGAATACAGCACATACTGTAAAAGCTATCATATCAATCCTGTTCCTCACCTGTGTCACCTTTGTTTAAGGATAGTAGATTGAAGATGGGAAATAACATGCTGTAATACTGATATGGAGCTTTCATGTTTTTTCTTCCTTAGCTGTTTTCTTTAAATAGAAATACTGCATTCAAGCTGAGAGGACCATTTCCTGCCCTTTTTCCTTCCCCTGAATATGGGGAATTGAATCTTGCAGAGTCCACTGTGCCTACTTCTCAGTTAAATTCAGGACAGAGCAACTAGACACTGAGTAACAGGAGCACATATGATGACCAGAACTTTTGCTGTACTTCTGAAGAGTCATTACACTGCGTGCTGGGCAGAATATGTTGATTGACTACATTCCCGATAGCATATAGCTATAGAAGTGTATAGATTCCTTCCTTTCAGTGATAGAGCAACTGGCTTTGAGAGTCACCTGAATTCATTAAATAAGGACATGAGGGACTTGAGAATAAATTTCAACCTGACAGTCCACCATAGGATTAGAATATCAGGCCCCAGATACAGCCAAAAATTACCAGAAAGTTCATGCACATTAGCAGTTTCACAGGGTGAAAAAATTTGAAAACACCCGTCATTGAAATCTTCTGTTACAATGCATTTGAGCTCTCAGTATAGTTTTCTGCACCAATATATACTTCACTTTACTAGACACCAAGGACCAAGAGCATCGGAGGCCTAATTAACTTTTCAGTCTAGAACAGGGCCTTTTTTTTTTTTTTTGCCATGTACATACAGGGCCTGGGGGTGTATTATAGCCACTTAGTGTTCCTTATGCTTTTTTTGTTTAATGCTAAAATTTTGACATTTGAAAAATATTTGTCTTGAATTATGTGCTTCATGCTCCCATTGTCCCCTGGGCACGTTTCTAACTTGGGCTGATCTCCTGTGGTGCACGATCACCTCTCCTCAGACCTTGTGGTGAAGCAGCAGATGGCATATCTTTACCTCAGTAAGGCTTACTGACACTACCTCATAAGACATTTTCATTAACAATGAAAGAAACAAAGGCTAAATGAAACTACTCAAGACTCAATGCCAAAATGATCAAAAAACCCCTCAGAGTTATCAATTACTTAGACTCACCCTAGAAATATATATTGAGAAGGATTACTCAATGGTCTGTTCTAGCTCTGGCACTATTCATTTTTTTTAATGATAGAATAGGTATCTCCCTTAAAAAGTCTGAAAATAATACGAAAGTAGCGAGATGGAGCAAGGCTCAACACTGCAGCAGCTTCTTTGTAAAATTCAACAACTTTGGCAAATAGCGTCATGGTGAAAATACACAAGACACAGACAACAGAGGTGTTTGCATTCTTCAGATGTGCTGATTTAAATAGGCAGCAAGTACCCGATAGCAATATGTAAGTGTATTTAAGGTGTCTAACTGACATTGAAAACCCTTGTGCCACAGGGAATTTGTGCCATTGAGGAGTTAAGCCTGAAGTCTTCTGTCCACCAAAAAGAGACAGCTAAGGTAGCTGCGCCATAGGTAGCTCATTTGTGCTTTCCCCCAGCCCCCAAGCTGCCAATAGATCTAAGTCTCCACTTCCCTTTGAATTCTGGTTTCTATGAACTTTTAGTTTTGATTTCTGTGCCATTTATGCCATAAGCATAGACGTTTTGTTGACAACAGAACTGCCCCCCCAGTTGTCTGAGTTCCTAAGCTGATAATGAACCTGAGATGCATCTGGGGTGGGCTGAAGCTACAGGCATTTGTTGCTTAAACCATTACACAAGGTGTTACTCTAATTACTAGCGGAGCCCGCAGGGGGTGGATAGCAGCTCACAGCCCAGTGCAAAACAGCAGTCCTCTGCTTCAGAGATCAGATTAGCAATTGGGTGTAGAGCAGAAGGGAAAACAGGCTGGGCATGAGGGTGGTGGGG